TCGACCGCGACCCTGCTCACGGAGCGGCCGCAGCCGACGTTGCATCGGCCGAAGCACTGACCGCTATGCCAGCTGCGCCTCTACCCCTATCTAGCGCAATCACTCTCTGCATGAATGCACAGGGCTACGTCCCCGCTGCAGCGCAAGTGGCCCTTCTCCAGACGTACGGCGGTGTGGCGGTCGCCTCGGCGGCCCAAACATTGGCAGATGATGTGCAGCGCGCTCGCTCCAGCGATAACGAGCTTCCGCCCCCCAGACGTTCCAGACGGGGACGCCGCGCTCGCCGCGCACGTGAAGGTCCCAGCATGTCGGGGCCCGCAGCCGCCGATCCGCCGAGCGACAACAATGACGACTGCAACTCAGTCCCAGTCTGCCCGAATCGAGCGGCTGTGGCCGACGCCGAAGCCTGGAGGGCATTGGATGACCGCCACCCAGCTCCAACGCTGCAAGATGCGCCCCCTTTCATGCGAGCTGCGGTGCGGGGAGCGCTGGTGCAGGCGCTCCGACGAGTGCGCGCAGCCAGCAACGCCCCTGACAGCGCAGAGGCTGCCAGGGCATGGAAGCTGTTCCTGCTGGCCCCGCCGCATGCTGCTCGCGCGCACCGAGCAACGAGGCTCGCAGGGTCGTGCCGAGTTGCTAGGGCGGGCCGCCGCGTTCCAGCGAGGCGAGTGGCCCCAACTGCTACAAGCCGCACGCCGAGTAAGCCATCCAGCACGTGACGGCCCGACGCTGCCCCCCAACGAAATCGCTGAACGCAAGCGGCATCAGGCATGCGCGAAAGTGCGACAGGGCGAGCTTTCACGCGCGCGTCAGGTGCTTACCGCTTGCGACCTGGCCCCTGGAAATGAGGCCACGTGGGCCGCTTTGACCGACCCCGCACGCCGCCCTCCGGAGGCCCGGACCGCGATCGCTCAGGACGTTCTTCAGCACCAACCGTCCCAGCCTGTGCACCTCACCACGCGAGCAATCGCTGCCGCCCTCCGCTCCGCACGTCGGGGCGGGGCACACGGCCTGTCGGGCATGCGAGCGGAACACTTGAAACTGCTACTTCTGCATGGCGAGGCCATTGAGCTGCTGGCGGAGGCTTCCACTCTCCTCGCGCAGGCTCGCGTGCCAGTCGACGTGTGCAAGGCACTCGCTATGGCTCGCCTCACGGCTTTGCGCAAGCCGGACGGGGGGGTGCGTGGAATCGCCACGGGCGACATGTTTCGCCGCCTTGTTTCGAAAGCACTTGCTAGGGAGTGGGCCGACAAGTTCGACCAGGCCACGCGGCCATTCCAATTCGCGTTACAAGCGCGAGCGGGAACGGACGCCCTTGCCACCCACGTGCGTGCCGCCCTCGCGACACGCCGAGGAGCTGTGTTGGTGTCGCTGGACGGCCGCAGCGCCTACGACAGCATGTCACGGGCGGCCTTCTTCGGCAAACTCCGCGAGGTGGCGCCGGAATTGCTCCCTTTCGTTCGCCTCTTCTACGGGAGCCCCTCCACCTACTGCTGGTGGGACTCCGCTGGCCGCTGCCGGGACGTCCATCAGGGCGAAGGGTGCGAGCAAGGGGACGCCCTCGCCCCCGCACTATTCGCACTCGGACAACACGATGCTCTCCGACACGCGGCAACGGCACTATACACCCCGACGACAGCCTCGTCGCTTTCCTGGACGACCTATACGTGGTCACGCAGCCGTCGCGAGCGAGAGCTGCCTTGGACGTGACCGTCCGCGCTGTCGAAGACCGGCGTCCAATTTGGGCAAGACTCGGGTGACCGCTGCCGAAGCCGGCCCGGCTCCGCCTGGCATTGCGGAACTGGGCGATGAGGTGTGGCGAGGTGACAAGCCCGATGCCCAGCGCGGCGTCGTTGTCCTCGGCTCGCCAGTCGGGCACCCCGCCTTCGTGCAAGCATGGGCCGAGGACAGGTTGCGCGCAGAACAAAAGCTCCTCGACCAACTGCCCAAGCTCCGACCTGCGGTGCGCGTGGCTGCTCCTGTTAATGTGCGCATCCCCCCGCGCGAACCACGCCATCCGCACCATGCCCCCCTCGGCGTCAGCGACTTACGCGCGGGGACATGATGATGCCATATGGAAGACACTGCAGGCCATGCTTGGGGGAATTGGCGACGCGGAGGCTGATCATGCTAGGCAAGTCGCCACCCTGCCAGGCGCGCTGGGTGGCCTAGGGTTGCTCTCCGCTGAGGCGATAGCACCAGCCGCTTACTGGGCCTCCTGGGCGGATGCATTGCCCGCTATCAACGCCCGCCTGCCTTCGAGCGCGGCCACTTATATGTGCGCCTCCTAGAATCCCAAGCCGGAGATGGCGCGCACTGCCTTGCGGAAGCAGCGAACGCACGCCGAACCTTGCACAACCAAGGATGGAGCGACTACCCCACCTGGCGTATGATCCTTGAAGGAGCCCGCCCCGCCCCGCCAGCGGCCCCGAGTGCAGGGGACTGGCCGCACGGCTGGCAGTACCACGCATCGCGGACCCTCACCGTACACTCTCGCGATTGCGTGCTTCTGCCGCCTGCGTTTGCCCCTGCCTCTCAGCCCCAGCCGCTGCGGCCCCAGCCCTGGATGTGGCGGAGCCATGGACCCTTTGGGCGACCATGCCCTAGCTTGTCCAAGGTCAGGCTTGCTGGCCAGACGTGCGAAGGTCGTAGAGCACGCCTGGAGGACCGCCGGCGCCTCGACCTTGTCGTCTACGGCGCCACTGCCAACGGCGGAGCGCTCTGCTGCGACGCTACCCTCGTGTCCCCCCTTATGAGGACAGGGCACCCCCATCCGTGCACGGTGGAGGTGGACGGGGCGGCGCTCAAGGTAGCGGAGCGTCGCAAGTACAGCACTTACCCGGAGCTCGCGAGGGGCGGCCCGCAAAAGTTGCTGGTGCTCGGCTCGGAGATAGGAGGCCGCTGGAAAGTGACGGCGCAGCGCTTCGTTCGCGACCTCGTTCGCCTCCGAGCCCTCCACGCACCGCCCGCAGTGCGTAACGCCGCGTCCTCAGGCTGGGCGCGACGTTGGTGGGGCGCCTTGTCCGTTGCGGTCCAGCTCGCCGTGGCAAGCACAGCCTTGGGGCGCTCGTGGCCGGCAGCTCCTGCGCCAGGGCCGGGCGACGGCCCAGCACTGGACCGTGTGCTTGACCTCGCCGCGGATAACGGGCCAAGGCGCCTGCCATTGCGGCCCTAAGCTGGGACCGCTCCTAGATGCCGTAGGCGTAAAGTAGCCCCCCCCCTTGAAAGGGGGTCCTCATGCTGCGCGCTCATGCAGCCGGAAGCCACTGACTATATTATTGTGTTTTTGATGACGAACGATATATGTGAAGATTCCGCGCAATGACAGCGAACACAACTGGATTCAAGGGTTTGAGCCGCTGACCCTATTTGCATGTTGTCGCGAAGCTCCTCTTCGCAAATATTCGATTCGACAGCCTCTGCAGTTTGCGGTTTGATTGCGAGGTGTCCAGCGCAAACGCCAGTGCTGAGCGGAATTGTATCAAAAGGGAATGTTGGGAGCTCAGCTGGTGCAGAGGTTTGACTGAAGCCCATGTTTTTTGGTGGTTCACGCTGTTCAGGTTTTGCTTGCATGATGGGTGAGCAATTTGGGTGGCTGCTGGTTGGGGGGGGGGGAAGACATCTCTTCCGAGATATTTCGGGGTTTGCGGGTGGTACCACAGTACGTATTGCTGTGGGTTCGAGAGCATTTCATGTTCAGATGTATTGCGAGCGACCACGGAACCGCATGAGGCACAGCTAGCCAACCGTCCCTCGGCGCCGAGCCCTTGCGCAGCAAAGCTGTGGATGCTCTGCTTCAACAGCAGCAGGACACTGCAAACAGGACCGGTGCAGCATTGGTGATGATACAGGTACCACCAGTCCGTGGTTGTGGTGTCATCGGGTGGATGCCTGCAGATATTTTTTGCAAGCTAAGTACACCATGGGCTAAATGACCGGTACAGCTTTCATATCGTCAGTTTTTTCACATATTCGTGTTTTGAGCACAAAGTGTTGCTTTTTTGGTCGTTGCAACCGGTAGAGTAGGGCGGCAGTGTAGATACCCCTGCAGGATCAGTTCCATCAACATGTGTTTGCAGCACAAAGCTCTCTACTATGTTGCCAAGAGCGTCATCGATGAGGATTTGCAGGCCTGTACGGTGGAGCCTTGTCACGAAAGACAACTACTTGTATGCGGCTGCGTCAACTGATGAGGAGACTACCTAACAGTGCAGGAAGCCAAGTGCCCCCTGCATAACCATGGCGACATGTGTTGTGCCAGTTCGTTGCCCCAGAACGCGAGATTCAGGCAGCAGCAACTGACTCGAATGGCAGTATGTTGTGTTACGCTTAGTGAGGCCATCCCGCCAGCTGCGCTCAACGCACCTGCATGCGGCAGCTGTTTTGCTTTCGTGAACGCCTTCATGCATGGGCTTTGGGTCGATACCAAGGTTTTATGAGCTTGTTTCCAAATACTTTCGTTTTGCGGACAGGCAGACATCGACCGCCTCACCGAAGAAGGTGATGCAGAGAGCGCGGCTTGAATTCTTCAGCCGGTGATTATTTTGCCGCTTTGGTTTAGGGAAGCTTGCAACTTGGGCAAAGCAAGGTTTCGGTGTCGACCCACACGTCAGGACATCGAACGCCGCATCAACACCTTTCCGGAATTGTTTGCCAAGCTCAACGCCTTGGGCGGGAGATGGGCAGCGCGTGACGTCGTCATCGAACACACGCTCCAGGACATCCGTGTCTAAGAAGTGTTTGGTGCACTCCCATGAGCTTTGCAGGTTTTGCGCTGCATCGACGTTCGGTGGGGATAGATGGCCCCTTATAGACCGAAGTCGAAATCTTCTCGATCTTTAGTGCCTTCAGCGACACTCTGTATGCATGCATGTATGTATGCAGCGTGAATCTCAGCTGTCGAATTTGGTCAGGATGCCAACGGAGCCCAGCCCAGCTTGCAGCTGGACCTCATCAATGAAGCGGAGACACGATTCAAGCAGACGGTCCTCGGACGAGGCACGAAAGCGTCTACTTATGGTCCCGAGTCAAGCGAAAGGGTTCGCCTGAATGCCATGAGTACAAGGCGTGAAACAATAGCCAGAGGCAGAGCGTTTGATTGCCACTGCAATAAGCACCGAATGCCGAGTCGCCTTACACAATGCCGTCGCGACTCGCTGGGTTTGGGGCTCAGGCTAACAAACACAGCTTGGCGTCCCTTGGGTTTGAGTCGAGTCTGAACCTCAAGCCTTCGACGGCATTGGTACATTCCCCGACTGTGGCCATTCTCGCCCTGGTGATGACCAGGCAACGAGACTTTTGCCGAGGGCATCAACCAGCCCATTGTAGACTTGTCACAGGCCTGGGTTTTGGGCATTGTGTGAGAGGTTGTGTAAAGTTTGTCGGTCGTTTTGCCGGGTGTGGGCTGGTTGTCATAGTAGCATCAAGATTAGGACCTGATTAGGAGTTCCATTGAAGCCTTGATGCGGTTGAGCTGTTTCTTGTAAAGCCGCGGCGACTCGGACTAGCACGGCCTTGGGTTTTTTTGTTCCTTGCGACGGAAGTGTGATGGATGTTGCTGAACTTGTTTCGTTAGGTTTGTGCTACCACGCGAGGGCCTTCGGGATCGATGCAGGAAGTAAGCACTTCCTTGCTGCCGCACATCAGGGACTCGAGTTCAGATTTCTTTCTTTCGAATCAAAAAGCTGAGTGCAGACCTGGACCTATTACGAAACTCCATCGTGTTGGCATCACTTCGCAGCATGCTTTGCTGCAGAACCCTGCATCAAGAAAGCTTCACATTTTGAACATGTCCGACTTATGGTGGAAAAGGTGCCACAAAACAAAAAGCGTGTTTACCGGAAGCTTGTAGACGCGGCGGTCATTGTCATAATGAACCTCGCCTTGGTGCAGGACCTACTGATCATTGACGCGACCTTTGGAATGGATTGGGGCTATACGACCTACAGAGCGCTAGGCCAAATCGGGCTGGGGTCAAGAGCTGGGGACAGATTTGCTGTTTCCGCGTTGACTTGGGCGACGACCGGCCGGGATAGGACAGTAGGTCACGAGTTTGAGGAACGAAATCCCGGCCCAAATCCCTATGAAAAGTGAAATCGGAAGATCGGATTCCCGTGACTATCACGAATGATGTGTTTGCTAGTGTCTGATTTCAATGGATCGCTGATGCATGTTGTACTTAATGCAACTTTCTTGTCGCTGATAGGCCCGCACTATACCATCTTCTACTCGCTCGACTTTGTCCAGCAGTATGTGAACGTATCATTGTGCTGCAAAACGCTCGGCTGCTTGACTGACTGTGGCCCATGTAGGCCACCTCGGACTATACACCACACCGACATCAACCTTAACTTGCTAATGTCACACGATGGCAAATCAGACGAGACAACACCTCTGACTGCGACGAACGTCATGCTTACAATAGGACCAAACCAAGAGTAAGTGTCACAAAGTCGAAACCCCACAACTGCCTCTCAACAAATAACAAATGCCATTGTGCGTGTGTGTGTGTGTGGCATGAAACGGCCGCGAGCGTCACGATGAGGAAGGTACGGCCTCGCACTATCTTACTACCATATTGAACTGAGGCTGGATGGGCATGGGCTGGCTCGATCCAGCACGCGAAGGTGGCCCACTCATGCAGGACACGGACATGGTCGTGGCTGGGCAAGAGCAATTGAGTTTTGCGTTTGTGTGTCGGTCTCGATGGTGCTATGAACGGGTTTGTTCGTGGCTTTCGTTTAGGAGGTAGGCATTGACAGGCAGCCGCAGCACTCGGCATTGCATTTTGTTGAGCGCCTCCACCGTTCCCGAGGTTGCTTATGTCAGAGATGGCCAAGCAGGGATAGAGGATCGCTTCGCCCGCTGGATCGAAGAGCCACTCAAGGACAGCCCTAAAGCGTTGCCTAAACCCTCCTACCACTACTTGACTCCCGTCTTCAAAGATGAGAGGACTCAGTATGTAGGCTCCCGGCATCCTTGGGCGCGAGACGTGCGAGAAGACCCTAGTCTTCCCTGGAGCCTGAGAATGGCTTCAGACGCTTCAGGGACATTTTGCACGAATATAAAACACACACACATACATACATGCATGCATACATACATACATACATACATACATACATACATACATATACATATATATATATATGTATATATATATATATATTATACATATATATATATACATATACATATATATATATATATAGAGAGAGAGATATATCTGTGTAAACATGTGTGCATGATCCATGCGAGGCTTCTAAAAGATACCTACACATACTGTAATTGCACATA